TGTTCATCTCCCCTTCTCCCTCCTCCGGGCAGCGTTGGGGTGGAGATGAAGGAGGAGAGCGCTGTCTGCCGCCTGTTGCTCGCTTCTGATTGTGCAGCTCTCGGTACTGGGGTTCTCCTTCCCTGTACATCTTTCCTACCAGGATCCTGGGTTGCTCTCAGTGTAACAGGAGGCACAGCGGGATGGTTGGCACGGATCTCTTCCATCGTTGTGCTCCAGAATCAATGTGCATTTGAGGTGGACAAGAATGGCTTCATTTTGGGTTTCAAAAGTCCTTTCTTGGGATAGCCTGCTCTTTCAGGCAAACGGGATCCCTTTTCTCTTTCCCAAGGGCATGGCCATGAGCACTCAGGAGTGCAGGGATTTATTCCCAGTAATTGGTGCCAGCCAAACGACTGAGCAGAAGGCATCACAGACCAGCCACAGCCCTTAAGGAGAGGTGCTGAGGCATTTGCAGGTGTCTGGGCAGGAGACGCTCTAGCCCATGATCTGGTGGTCACCTTTCCCTGCCCGCCACAAGGCTTGCTTTCCATACATGTTTAACCCTGTTTGGAGTAGATCCTGCTCCAGTCTCCCATTGCTCTCCACTGTGAAGAGGGAGCGGAGGTAACATCTGAAGATAGGTGAAGGATTTGTCTTTGCATTGGGACCTGACAAGAGTTAATACCCTGATTACAAAACCAGGGTGAGCTGTTTTCTTCCTCTGTGCTAATCGTGGCAATGTCACTTCTCTTTCACAATCTCGCAGTGGAAGAGGGTGGGGAGGGGAAGGGGAGCTTCTTCATCAAGGTTTGGACAATGGTGCGTCCTGGCCTCTTCTCGTGGATTGGTGCCATTTCAGCTTCCAGCGTGTCCCCCCTGGCCTTTCGGAGGAAGCTGGCTCACTTTCTCCGTAGGTTTGCTTCCTTCTCTTGCCGGGATGCTTGGCACCAGCTCAGCTGTTTAGAAAGGACACATTTGAAGCAAAATCTTGATGAAGTTATTCTAGAGAGAAGGAAATGATGCAACGAGGGCCTTGTCCATTTGGAGGAAGTTGGATTTCTGTCAAGGGCATTATCTAACCTACCTTTTTTTTTTTTTTTTTTTTTTTTTTTTTTTTAATAAAGGCTTTTCTGGCCTGTGCAAGAGGGTGTTCAGCTGCTTGAAGGTTGGGGAGAGGAGTGTAGGTCACCTTCGTCTGCCCAGTTTGCTCCAAACACATTGGCTTGCCTCTGAAATCTTTGACCTAAGGTCAGTTTTGCAAAAACTGCCAGGTATTTCCTGGCAAATCCCTAAGCTGGATCAAGCCATTGGGTAGATAACGAAGGGAGCAGCGGTGACAGCAGGCCATGAGGAGTGAAAATAAGAGCAAGAGAGAAGAGCTGAGTAGAAAGGGATGTTCACTTGTGGCAGAGCATTGGCTTTCCAGAAGACGTGCTTGTGTTTTACTGTTTTACCTTCTGGTTGTTGCATGGATGCGACCGTTTCTGCATCTGAAGTTGGCACCTTTACCTTTGACGTCCAGTCTTGCGCTCTGGTCGGGCGATGGAAACAAACGTTTGCCCCAGATTTCCTATTTGCAAATGGACTTTCGTGGCTGCTCATTTCTGTAGCTGTGCCTCAGCTGCTGAGTAGGGTGGGTGGCCAGCAGCAACATCAGCAGCTCTTTCCACCCTCTTTTTGAGTCAGCTCGCGAGCACAACGGGGCGCAGCCTGCTCCCGCTTCGCCGGTGTCTCATCAAGTCTGTGATAATGTAAAATGGTACCTTATCGACTTGAGTGACAAAATCGAGCGCAACTTCCTTTTCTCCTGCAGACAGGGCTGCTGCAGAGGGGAGCTGGGCGCTCTGCTCCCTGTGCAGCCTCGCCAGATAGGTTTACACAGGCTCCTTGTAGGCAGAGCGGGTGTGTGGGTGTTGCTGAGGGGAGAGCTTGATGTACAGAGTGACTGTCGCTGCATGAAAAGGAGAGAAGCTGGTGTGACACTTACATCCCAGCCTGCATTTGCAGAGCTGTAAATTGAGTAAAACAGTCTCTGCCTGCGACTTGGGTCTGTCTTGTGAGAGGGTGCAGAGGCAGCAACCAGGAGCTCAAGGCTGTTGCGCTGCAACAGGACTGTGCTCTGAGATCACCTTGTCCAAGCAAGGGAGGCAATGGGAAATGGTAGAGGCTGTCCTTCCCTCTTTTTTCTTTTTTTTTTTTTCTTTAATTTCTTGTGGGATGCAGCCAGGAGAGCTCAAGAGAGCAAGCTTGCAGAGAAGAAGCTCTGCTGCTGTGTGCAGTTTCCACCCCTAGAGAAGCTGGCCAGGCATGGGGAGGTCTGTGCTGGGGGATCTTGCAGAAGGGGAACCTGATGCCTTCCCAGCAATGGGATGCTCCGTGGGCAGTGCTGGCAGCTTGCAGCCTTTCCACGAGGAGGGTGGGCTCCGCAGGGTGGAGAAACAAAGGAACATTTTCCACTTTCTTCCTCTCTTTCATTAGCCAGGCAGAGACTGATTCAATTAGGTGCAAAACAAAATGCCAGGAAAAGGATGTTTGCTATACTGAGTGTATGCTGTTGTAGCAAACCTGCTTGCCTATCTCTTGCAGCCTTTTGTTCTGCTTCTTCCACAGATAAAGTGATTCAGAGGTTCTGACATGCTGCTCTGAGAGTGGGAAGTCCCCAGGGTTAGCAGGAGAGAAGCGAGGAGCAGGGTGGTTTGGCAGGAGAGAGGCTTCCCTGAGCTAAATCTTGTGAGCTGGTGACAGTCCTTGGCGCCTGTCGCCTTCAGCTGGCATCTCGAGTGCCGGCTGGGTCTCGGGATCAGGCCTTTTGTAACAACGAGGTTTTTAAGAAGACGATGAACCTCTGTAGTAGCTGGAAAAGAGCTGCTTTTGTGCATTGCAAACGGACAGGCGGTTGTCCCGGACCAGTCCTGGTGTGGCAGGAGCCAGCTTGTCCCAGGTGAGGTCCCACAGCTGAGCTGACTTGCACCTGGATCTTCTTAGGACAAAATGTGTCCCAGCAGGGCCAGGGTCTCTGCCACTCCTGTGTGGATGTCCCGTGCCTCTGGTGACTCCCAGTAGCCGGCTTGCAGCTCTGGGAAGAAGGGCAAGGAGCAAGAGCCCAGATGATGCTGGGCTGGTGTCCCCTCTGCTCAGGAGCTCCCCTCTCAGGTGTAGTGATCCCTTTTGGGTTTGCTTCACCAGCAGCAATCTCCAGGTTCTCCTTTTGACATTCCCCCTGGGTCTACAAAAGGGCCATGCTCCCAGCTCGCCTGGAGAAGTCAGACCTGAGCTGCCTTGGCCTCTTGCCCTCAGGAAGCGACTGCCGAAGGCGTCAGCAGTGTCCTGTGCCCCTTCCCGGGAAAGTGGGCTCATGCATGAGCCAGCAGCCAGCTCTCCCAGCCCTTGGTGGGTTCCAGATGAGCGGCAGGTAGGGACAAGGCACAGAGCTCTCAATGTCCAGCAGCTCTTTCCATGTGTCACCTTGCTGTGTTCCTGCAGTTTAACCAGTGGCCAGCACTACCTGTTTTTAATTCTTTTACCCCAGCCTGATCTCTCCCAATCCCCCCATTGAATCAGGCATCCTTGGTGACCTGTGCTGTGATCCTCAGGCTCTGAAGCTCACTGCCAAGTTTCTTGCTTTTATCCTGTGGATTTGGCTTAAAAATATGGAAAGACTGGCAGGCTGGGCATCCATATGGGAGGGTAGCGAGCGCGCGCTAGCGAAGCTCCGCTTTCTGGTTGGAAAAGTGCAGGCTGTGAAATGGCAAACGGCGCGTTTGGCCTCATGGGGGATTTGGAGCAGGTTGAGCAATGCTGCTCATTTAAGCAACTCAAAACTGGTATTGTTGTGTAAGGGGCCATGGTAAAAAAAAAAAATAAAAAGAGAAAATAAAGACCTGCCCTTATGAAAAATCTCACTTCTTCAAATCCATCTGTTCTGGCAGCCCTTTGGCACGTCTGTGGGCAGCACTGACCTTGTAATCCTAGACTACTTGGAAAAAGAATAGGTATTCTGCTAGATATTCTGCTGGGTAGGACTAGGCCCTGAAATGGAGATATCTGATACAAATCCCAATTCAGCTCTGTCCTTCCAAGCCTGGAGCTTCAGCTCCTGCAGGGTGTTTTCCTTTCCCAGCCAGGGCCACTGTCACCCTCCCTCCACTAGCAGGGAGGAGGGACACAGGGGCATCTTCTGTGGTCTTTCTGGCATGCCTGGACCCTGTTGCCAAAACCAGATTTGCTGCTGATCCAGAGGATGAAAGAAGTCGGAGGCCAGAAATCATCATGGCTCGGGACTGTGGGGGAATTGGGACCGGCAGAGAAGTTGGGGCAGCTGGGTGTGGGCTGCCCGTGACATTCCGGCTGGGATGGGAAGGAAAATGATCCTAGGAAGATGCCGCTCTCACCTCTCCTGAGACTGCTCTGTCGGTGGCATCGTCGTACCCAGATGTAAGAACATCAAAGCTGCTCAGCCCAACAAGACCAGTACGTGTGTGCCTCTTGAGTTTGACACAGCGGCTACTCTAGCTAAGTCACATAAACCTTGACATTGATGGCAGAGCGGGGAACCTGAATGCAGGGGTCCCAAATTCTGTGCCAAGGCTCTGATCGTGGGGCTCTCCTTGCTTGTACCTTGCCAGATGAGTGCTTTGGTACCAAACCTCTGCGGGACTTGCTGGGTGGTGACGCTGCCAAGTGCTTGCCCGAAGCTGCTCTGCACTTTGCTTTTCCTACCGTCGTCAGGACTAATGCCCAGAGCTGGGAGAGCCTGCGAGAGGCTGAGCAGATGAGAGGAGCAGCCCGGGCTCCCGCTGAAATCCACGGGGCCACCCGGCCTTCCTGCCATCTGTTCCCCAGCTTGCAGATCACACAGAGACTGGCTCGTGGAGAATATTTAAGAAATCTCTGTCAAATGCTTAGAGAGTGCACCACAATGTGGGACGGAGACAGCAGCAGCCACCTGGCATGTACCTGGGGAGCTTGCACGTCAGGGGGAGAGGTGGGCGCTAGCATGGCTGTTCAGAGCCTCTTCCCCCAGAAAGCTGCTGGGGATGCTCTGCTGAGCCTGGCTGGAGGCTCTCTTGGCAGAGAAGAGGCGTGGTGAGTAGAGGAGGTTCTGCCAACATGCTACTGCCCAATCTGGGACCTCCTCCGGAGGGCTGCGTGCCCAGCGTTTGTTGGGCTGAAGACCTCAGCGCCTCGTCACAGCCCCTGAGCTGTGAGGGATTGAAGATCTCATGCAGGAGCTTGGGCTGTCTGGGTGCAGCCCTGAAAGTTCAGCTGTGTTCCCCCCATCTTCCCTTGCTTCAACAGGTCGTGCAGAGCAGTTATTGCCTCCTGCGGCTCAGTGGCCAAGGAGCCACTGCAGGAGGGAGTCAGCGCGCTGGCCGGCTCCCAGGGGCACACAGAGAAGTGAGCTTCTGTGTTCCCTGGGCTGTAATGGTGTTAGCCCCGAGATGGGATTGCTCCTGGACATCAGCCTTTCCTTTTGGGAATGGAGAAGGAATATGGGAATGGTGTGCCTACCACTCCTTGCTCTGGTTTTTCTCTGTGGGCTGTTGCAGCAACCTTGCGAAGCAGAGGAGTGTCGAAGGCTAATCCGAGTGCACCTTGGAAAGAAGAAACCAGATTTATCGCTTCCTCTTCTGATCTTTACTCCAGGCTTTGCAACAGCTGAAGGCTGGATTTGTGCCATAGTCGTGGAGCAGGGACATTCCCTCTTTTCTTCCCCGTCTCATGGATTGCACTGTTTTATTGGCCCTTCCCCAAGCACTGGCCTTATCTGCCCTGGAATCTGGTGAGTGTTTCTGCCTGGCCTAGCCCTGCTGAATAACGTGCCGTCTGTCTGTCTGACTCTGCAGGATTGGGAGATTCTAGTCCTGGAGAAGCTAAAGTGGGACCTGGTCGCAGTGATAGCGAATGACTTCTTGGCTCACATCCTCTATCATCTCCCGCTGCCTAAGGACAAGATGGAGCTGGTGAAGAAACACGCACAGACCTTTATCGCCCTGTGTGCCACAGGTGGGTGCCTGCTCCTGCTGGAGCCACCCACCAGGATGCTGGGGAGGGTGGGCTGGCCACCGCACGTGGGGTGGCCTGGGCTTGAGTCAGGCTTGCTGGGTAATCCGGGGCTGGTCTCCCGCACCCTGGCTTTCTAAGGAGCTGAATGCCTGCCTTCATCCAGATGAGAGCGTTTTGCTGCTCTGTGACATGTCTTCTATGCCTGACCAAGTGGGACAACAGTCCTGGGGGCTCTTAGTGGGTGCCTGGAAGATGCCGGGAAAAGACAAAGCCGCCGTGCCACCCTTCCTGCTGTGCAGGCTGTGACTGTGGGAGGGTGTCCGGGGTAAAGGCAGGGTTGAATCTGGGCCTTGCTCTTAAGTGACTAGAGCAACCTCGTCTTCAGAACTTCTTTTGGGGAGCCAGGCCCAGAGCAATGGCTTACCGAAGCTCGCTGCTCTGACCCTCAGCCTGTTTGCTGTCGTTTCACCCCACGAAGCTGGAGAGACCCCTCTGCCTGGCCCTCTCTAGTCTTCCAGGGAAATCGCAGTCCCAAGAACTTATCATGCGCATCCTTGCTAACGGCTGCTTCTTTTTGCCCTTTGTATCCCTGTTCTGGCTCTAGACCACACTTTTGCCATGTACCCCCCCTCCATGATTGCGACAGGCAGTATTGGAGCGGCCATCCATGGCCTGACGGTCTCCGTGAACGATTTCAGCGGTGAGGCGATCACCGAGCTGCTGGCCAGCATCACTGGCACGGAGGTGGTGAGTGTTCATGGGGGAACGGCAAAGTGCTTTTGCTGCTGGATCTGGTGGAAACCCTTCCCCTTTCTGCTGCTCGTTCTTCCCAGAGGGAGAGAAAACGAGGCTGTTCGTAATGACGCTGGCCTTGGTTTGAGGAGTGCCTAGAGATGAGTGAGCATCTCCAAGCGCAGCACCCTTGGTCAGTCCCGTGGCTGCAGTCGGCTCCTGCGGGTGCAGAGCGGGGCGAGCTCGGGAGCCTTTGAAAAGCAGCACAAAGGGGAGCGTCTGTTCCCTGCGCGGGCAGGTGTTGGTGGGATCGGGTTGACAGGGTGGGATGGGGCAGAGGGAGAAGCCGGGCTCGGCATCTGCTAACCTCCGCCGGTGTCTGGTTGCAGGTGCCCAGACTGGGGTGGGAAGGGGGTCGGGGGCACAACGCGTTTTGGGACGCTGGCACAGCGGCTTTGCTGGGGACGTTAGGATGGTGGGGGGGCATCTGCCTGCCCCTCCACTGCCCTTTGAATGGGGAAGGGGCACCCTGTCGGGCTCCCCGTTTCTAGGTCGCTCCTGTTGCAGTGAAGCAATCGGGAGCCTTTCTGCTACCAGGGGCCCCTTTTGATCTTTTTTTTTTCTCTGCCCGAGCGCTAATGCCGGCAGCTGGGCGCGGGGTTGGTTACAGTCCCCTGACAGCAGCGCCGGGAATTGGAAGAGGTGCTGCGACCAGGCTTTGTTCAGGCAGGGAGGGGATGGGGCAGGAGGGCGTCCCGATCTATTTGTGCAGCTTTAATATTTTTTTGTTTGCTGGAGCCTTTTTAAAAAGTGAATCAGTGCAGCCAGCTGCTCTCAAGCTGCTGCGGTGAATGCGGCAGGGGCTGAAACCTGCTCTGGGTCAGGGCTGGTGGAGGGAACAGGTGGGAAGCAGGGAGGGCACCGCCGAGGGTGGGCAGCCGAAATGGAGCCCAGCACACCTCTGCTACCCTCCAGCCCGCTCCTCTCCCTCCTCAGCCCAGAGAGGGCCTCTGTTCTGCCCCAGAGCCCACCTGGGTGCAAGGTGCTGCACAAACAGCCCCTGCCCCAGCAGGGCTGCGGTGGCTCCTGTCGCAGACGGAAGCCCTGGGGATGCATCTGCAGCACTGCAGGGCTCCTGGGGAAGCACTCGGCCTCCCGTGCCTGTGGTGTTGATGCTTCTCCCTGAACTTGGCCTCACAGTGTCCCTGGGCTGGGACTCAGTTTCCCCTTTGGCTCAGCCCTGGAGGAGCGATCCCCTTCCTGCGGCTGCCGAGGCTCAGCCGGGCAGTGCTGGGGGTGCGGGGAATCCATAGGGACAGAAGGGGACGATGGCACAGGGCTGGCGGGAGCTGCACTGCTGCGCCGAGGCTGGCTCGCTGCTGGCTGT